AGGCTAATTACACTAGACACACAGCATTGTAGGCTAGACAATGTCATACATGCTACAATGACTTCTATCACAGGCAGCTCTGCTTTTACACCGTATACTCTGGTGGAATGTCATGAAAAATAGATAACGCCCAAGCCTACTACACTCACCATTTAACCTGATGTTCAAAAATCATACAGCGTGTGATCCATTGTAGGAATGTTGGGATAAACCAGTTTATTCACTGGGAGAATCCCCAATAAAGCAGAATGCAGTGTGAACCTAAAACATGTTATAGAAGGCGACTCACTTTGCTTGTATTGGAAAGTCTCATACTCGTACATACATTTCTGTTCTGCTGCGAGGCTCCTAAAATCGACAGGGTTATAGAGGGCATTGCTGTGGGGGGGGGATAATAATAATGTGAAAGAAGCCCTGTAGTGGCTCTAATAGCTCTTAGAGTTGAACTAACGCTTGAACACAGTTGTTCCAGAGTTAGAGGGTATAAATTCATTTTACAGATAACTACACTGAATCACACCTTTTATCAGTACCAAAGATGATTGCACTATTTTCCCATTTGCCTGCTAGAGTTGGTAGTGAAGAAGGAATTTTGTTGTGTTTTGGATGTCTCTCTATATTGTGGACCAACCCTGTAAATTTCCAAAACGTGGTGTCGGATATCTTCCTCGGAAGTGCCCAAACTTGTGAATGATAACTGACATACAGTAACATGCAGCCAAATTGTAAAAAGACAGATGAAAGAAAGAAGTTTTGAAGTGAAGTCATGTACAAATACTAAATATCAGTCTTATCTGGCAACCTGCCATTATGTATCTTATTGGCTTACATAGCAGCTTGTGATGCCTGCACCATAGCAATTCAGGTTACAGGTAGATAAAGAACAGATGCTTTTTACATGGTGAATCTCACAATTTTAAATTAAAAAAGACAAATGTCATCTGTGGAAATTTTGAGATGAAATAATTAATCAACTAGCCGATCAACAGAAAATTAATCTGCAGGCAGCTATCGATTCAACAACATTTCAGACAGTTTTCTTTTTTAAGCAAAACACTCCCCAGTTCCAACTTCTCAGTTGTGATGATTTGCTGCTTTTCATTGACTTATGTGCTTGTAAATTGTATATTGATGAGTCAGGGCTGGGGCGACATGGCAAAAATTATTCTCACTTTTTCTTTCTTTTTTTCCCCCTCAAGCTTGAAGACGATCACAATTTAATTTTAGTTTTCATGCATGCCCTGAACCACGTGCAAGGTTGTCATTGTTATGCATATTAAAAAAGTAAAGGTTATACTAGGCAGCTATGGACTGTCTGTGTTGATGCTTATACTGCTTTTATCTATGTCTGTATAATGCGTCAGATTTCAAGTATTGAAATTTATGTTTATTATACATGGTGCCTTTCAAATAAACTTGTAAATAAAAGAATAAAATTAAGTAGGGCACTGACAACCAGTTTAATAATCAGTTTCACCACAGATGGAACAGAGAAGTTGGCACACTTACTCACTACGGGCGTGCATATAGTGCAACTTTTCATGTCAGTTTACCAGACTGTGACTCGAGACAGGTGACGTAGACAGCTATTGTCTGTTACTGTTTTTTATTTAATCAAATAATTAAAGTCATCACCCAGCCCTATGTTGAGTTTGAACTGAAGACATCTTGGGCTTTAGAAAATTGGAATTGGTAATTTTCCCATTTTTTTTTTTACTCAACTCCTTGCTTTGTGTTGACCTGATTGTAGAGTTTAGTTCATAAAAAGTTGATTTAGACTAGGAAGGTCTTATGGGAGGTTATGGAGAATTTATTTCTGGGTGTGGTATATCTGAGGTTGGTCCACAGTGGACTGGACTGTGACAATACACCCCATTGTTATTCACAACAGAGGGAGCCTGTCCCAGGTTCCTTGGAGAAAGGATGCTAAGGGGCCAAATTGGATTTCTGACTGAATGAGGAATCAGCTACTTGGGGGAAGTCTAGAGAAAGTTGACCCACTATGTCTTTGTGGGGCTGCTGCTGGAGTGCCATTTATATGTTGCAGATCCTCCAGAGTCATTGAGATTCAGAGGAGAGTTCACTCTGGCCAGGTGGAGGGCTCCTCCAGCTGCTTGCCAGCACAAATCTGTCCAGGGGTCACACTATAAATATTTAATCCTTTTCCTGCTGCTTTAAATGAGGAAAACCCCATAAAGAGTTAAATTTCTCAGCCCTCTGCGGGCCTTGCTGCAACTGCTTATTTCAACATTCAGAAACTGACTCAGTTGTAGTAGTGTAGATCTTTCAAAACTTATATACACTGAACAAAATTATAAACAATGCTTTTGTTTTTTTGCCCCCATTCATTATGAGCTGAACTCAAAGATCTAAGACTTTCTCTACGCAAATGCTCCGTATTTGTGTAGCGCCTTTCTAGTCTTTTCGACCACTCAAAGCGCTTTTACACTACATCTGCATTCACCAGACATACACATTCATACACTGAGCCTAAGTGCTCAAACAGAAACAGAAACTAACATTCACACACATTCATACACTGGCGGAACAGTTGGGCAATTCGGGGTTCTGTATCTTGCCCGCTCTACCTCCTGAGCCACAGCTGCCCCCCTTTATGTACCCATGTTCACAAATCTGTCAAACTCTGTGTTAGTGAGCACTTCTCCTTTGTAGAGATAATGCATCCACCTCACAAGTGTGGCATATCAAGATGCTGATCAGACAGCATGGGTAATGCACAGGTGTGCCTTAGGCTGGACACTCGAAAATGTGCAGTTTCACTGTATTGGGTGTGTGCGGAGGGGTCCGGAAACCAGTCAGTATCTGGTGTGACTTCCATTTGCCTCAACTTCGCATAGAGTTGATCAGGTTGTTTGTGGCCTGTGGAATGTCCGTCCACTCCTCTTCAATGGCTGTGCGAAGTTGCAGTCAGGTCAAGACCCCGATGAGGACGACAGGCATGTAGATGAGCTTCCCTGCTCTTGACAGTTTGTGCAGAAATTCTGTGGTTATGCAAACAGATTGTTGCAGCAGCTGTCTGGGTGGCTGGTCTCAGATGATCTTGGAGGTGAAGATGCTGGAGGTGGTGGTCCTGGGCTGGTGCGGTTCCACATGGTCTGCGGTTGTGAGGCCAGTTGGATGTACTGCCAAATTATCTGAAACGCCTTTGGAGACGGCATTTGAATTTTGTTCAGTATAAGAAAGCATTTTAAATATAAAAAGAGCTTTGTTGAAAAAGGCATCAAGGCAAACTCTCCAAAATTCTAAATTTAGATAATCAAACTATAAGCCCTTGGGGGTTTCTTATCTCTCCTGCATAATCCTATGTTGTTTTTCTATATCTTTAGCTGTCCTTTGAGCTACTAATTTTTATTTATTAATTAAATGTATTCATTGTCAGACAGATTGGCGCAAGTGTGAAAAAAGTTAAGTGTCATTTTTACAATACTATGAATGTATTAAATAAATAAATATGAATTTAGTTGACTGACTGTCCATCTTTCAAGGTAAAGGTTCTTTATTGTCACATCCATGTGAAATTCATTCTCTGCATTTAACCCATCTCTAAACGGAGCAGTGGGCACTGTACCACTGTACAGCACCTGGGGACCAACTCCAGAGATATGTCAGTGGCACTGGTCAATGGCACTGACAGGAGAACACATTATGAATCAAAGAGATCACTTTGTTTATACAGACATTTTCTTTTTTATGTTGCTCCTGAATTTCAGGTTGAAAAGCACAGTTGTGTTTTAAAGCATTTTCAGTCCCGAATGTGGACAGTCTCATGTCCCCCCCCCCCCCCCCCCAGCAGTTGTTGTTTTGCAGTGCAAACACAGGCAAGAAAAAAAGAATGCAGGCTAGCCAGAACCCACTGAGCCTTTTCTCCAGCCTGGTGTAAAGAATGAATTATTCAACAGTAAGCAGGCTTTCAGCTGGCCATTTGTGTGCTTTGATCTAGGAATCAGGAGTTTGCATGAATGCCTGTATTGTCATGTTAGTTTCCACAGTGTGTGAATTATTGAAAAAAGAGCAGGGCCCCGCTTCATCTGGTAAAGTTTACACTGCAGGCTCACTGGACAGACAGGCTGGAACTGTAAATCCCCAGATGTTGTTTATTTGTCCTGCAAGGTCACATGACTGGTTTCACTCAGACTGGCCTCGCCTAAATGTTAAGCGTGAAGAGAGTTTTGGGGTCAACCTTTAACAAACTACAGCTGGATGTGAGAGCCAACCAGGGTTGGGCTCACCCCCTCTGCTCAGGGGAACAACAAAATGTGTAGGTGTGGCACGCAGACAGGTGCTGCGGGTATTAACGATCTCATGTTGCCGTTTATAGAATACGGTATAGTTTATACCCGGTGTTTTTACTCAAACTCAAACAACTTTGATGAAAGAGAGCCTTTCAAATGCTGTATCAGCCTGAAAAATTTCATTTCCTTGAACCTTTTTGAAAGGAATTTATTTGTAAACTTTTCTTGCATCCATTGACCGTCACAAAAGAGCTAATGTGAAGGAAGCCTATGTGGTAGAGCCGACGTATTGGTTTCAGTTATTTAGTTATTAATATAAAAATTAATGAGATGATTATTTGCAACTGTTTTTCAACTTTGGTTTTATCTTTTTAGGCAAAAAGATTCTCAGATGTAAATATTTTCTGGTCATGATAGAAAACCAGATGTTTGTGGGACAAAACAAGACATTTGAAGTCATCGTGTTACGGCTGCATTTGACTAAAGATGTTCCTAGTCGACTAGCAGTCCTTAGTTCAAGCAGACATTAGTTATTGCACGTTTATGATATTATTTGAATTATTTAACTATATACTTTTTGGGCATCAAAATGGTTTGACTTCCAGGGGTCAAAGAAATGTAACACTGCTACATTACAGAGAAATACAAAACCGCAATAATTAGACCTTAAAATATCAATTTTACAAGGGGCACGATATGAGCCCCATGTTAATCACTGTATTCCTGTAAACCTCCTCCTACTGGCAGGTCCACATCTCCTGTGTAAACAAAGTGGTGTAAACCAACACCAACACTCCTCTGGTACTCCGAGCCCCAGTCTGCGCAGAGTCAGCTAATAGGACCCGCTAACTGAGGTAACTAGCTAATAGCAGCTGGTATTGTTGTCTTTTCTGCAGCAGAAGAAGCAGCAGTGTGCCTGCAAGTGACTTCTGTTACAAGAGAAAAGGTCCGTGTTGCAACAATCCCGATACTTTCGTCCCAGTGACAAGGCACATCTCCCGAATGGAGTTTGGAGGGTTATTTTCTGCGACTAACTGACTAATGAAAAGTTCTCATCAACTATTGGGGGGTAGCACTACATTATGGACTCTGAGAAGTTGCCATTTTAAAATATTTTCTGACAATTTATGGACCAATCAATTAAACATAAGTTACTTGTTTGTTACTATATGTGCATGAAAACTTTGTTTTGGGAGTTGTAATTCAAGCTTTTATACCTAGACCAACAGTTTCTTTCATTTAGCACACTTGAGTAATGCTCAAGAGCCCTGAACATCACAAGATGAAGCTTACGCACCCATCATCTCTTGTTTATGGATTTATGTCCCTTACGTTCCGCACTTGTATACCCTTTGAGATGTACACTTGTGGTCTGTCACATTGTTTGATCCGCGATGTAAAAATAAAATGCCTTATCTTGTGATTACCTAAGATATGGCTTATTAGCATATGTGAGGTACGTTGTGGTCCCATGGTGTAACAAAAGTAATGCCTTTAATTGATAATGAATTGAATGTTGAAAAATGTTTCATTATATTGAGGGTTTGGTGCATTTCATGGAGGAGTAGAGCAAATCCATGGTGTTGGTTGGCTACAGCTGGACACATAATTAGAGACCTCCTTACCTATAATTTGTGTAATAGTTTTGGTTGGCGGCATGTTATTACCATATGAAAGGGCTAAGCAGGGGTCATGTGCATTGCTACAGCAATTAGAGCAGAGCTGAGGGCAGAAGAATGTTCGGAGCCGTTGTTAATTGGAAATCTCTACAAAGCTATGCTTTAATTATAATTTAGTCAGAGCTGCACTGTTTTAAACCCAATATATTCAGTTGCCATTATTTTTTGTAATAGTATGAACAGCTAGGTCTGTTTCCTTTCAAAGCACCGGGCTTTGAAGAGAACGAGATTGAATTAGATTAATTTGAAAGGCTGTGCTGCTGCAAGTTTTTTTTTTTTTTTTTTTTCCCCTCTCCTTCATACTGATGTCACATGGTGTTTTCACAGCGAAACTGGATCTCGTTTGTTTAGGAGACGTACATACCTTCTGATTTGCATGCACTAAACTATGGTTACAGACCTTAGTTTGTAGCTTCATGTATGATTCCATGACTACCTCCTAGAAAAGTTGTAGGCTTAATTATGCATAAAGATTTAAATATTCATTATCCATAATTTATATTAATTGAATATTAATTGATATCAGAGGTTCAAAGGTTCTTTGAATCGTAGCACATAATCTGCATTTTTTTTTACTTTTGGAGCTTAACAGCATTAGTTAACTATTAATTACCCCTACATTTTACATTTAGTCAGTCAAACATTTCAGCGGAAAACTTAACCAACTGTTAAAATGATAAAAAATCTTATATACCCACCAAGGAAAGTGTTTTTACGGGTGACAGAAGACAACCGTAAACTCAGTTATCTGATTTTTATTTTATTTTTTTGGTTCTTGGTTGATGTTTAAATTTTTTGTTTACAGCAAACTCAAATGTATTGTTTAGCATAAGCAACCAAAGCCTGTATAACAGCCTTCTACTCTATACACTAACACACACATCTGAAAATCTGATGCCATGATGTGCCCTTTCCAAATTTCTTCCCAGCCCAGATATTTTGAGGTCATTTCCCACGTTTTTTTTTTTTTGTAGATATTTTAAGCACGTCTCATTTTCCTGTTCACACAGGTCGAAATGAGCTGATAGCCAGATACATCAAGCTTCGGACCGGAAAGACGAGGACTCGGAAGCAGGTAAGACAGCAGACGAGATGTCTCTGTTGCATGAGCGTCAGACGGCTGTCCAATCTGTGTGCAGACTGTTGCCTTATGTTTTCCACAGGAGAGAAATAAGGCCAGACAGAGAATAACACAATGCTTAGTTGTCAGGGGGGACTTCTGAGGCTGAGGAGTCCCCCTGTCACTGCTGTGTTGCATGAAGAGATGTCTCTGGGTTACGACATTCCCAGAATTGTCACTCTTACTTGCACTTATAAGTATACACATAAGAACCGTAGTTGTAGGAAGTTTGCAGGAGGAGAAATTGTCTTTAATTTCCCTGTTAACCTTTTACTTAAAATGCAGCCTTTCTATTTTCTACTATAAATAATGGAATGATAAATGTAATGTAATGATAAACATAAGAGCTTTGTCATATGAAAAGAGTCGCCACTGTAGCTTAAAAGTATTCGTCCTCATGACTAAATCATGGAGGTTGTGCACTTGGCTAGAGTAGAAGCCTTTTATTAATAGGAATGTGGAGGCCTTAGCAGATTGGTACCATCTCTGATCAAAGAGAGTATTTGCTGCAGTCAGTATTGGAGCGTGTATCCTGTCTTCTGCAGCACACAGTGTGCACTGCACAACTCACCACAGTGCTCAGATCAAACTGTAATGAATGTAATATAAATGATAAATCAGGGCTCTTATACGTGTATCTCTTAGGAATAACAGCACCAAAATAGTTGATTGTTGTATTGAAATGACCTGATAATGAGCTCTGAAGGTGCTTCAGTAACATCTTCCCTTTAAACAGGAAATTCCCTGCATGGCCACTGACTTGAATGACAATGATAAACAAGCCAGTGTCTACAGTGACATTCGATCGCTGTGTGTGAATTGATCAGTCTGGACCAGAAAGGCCACGTGGTTTTTCTTCTCCTTGACACAGAATCAGAATGAGAGAGCGAGCCGTTTACTCACAGCTACACCAAGAAACACATGTCTGTTTCTGTTCTTAGTTTAAATGTATGTGTGTGTGTGTGTGTGTGTGTAATTGCTGTGTTGTTTGTATTTGGTAGATTAAATCAGCAATAATTCTGATAATTGATCGTTTGGGCCTCTCAAATGCTAATTTTGACTACTTTTATTGTGTCTTCTGTGAAAGTAAGGACAACAACTTTGGATTTTGGACTTTTGGTTGGAGAAGCTTTTGAGTATGTCAGTGTGTGCTTTAGAAAGTGATGGTTGACATTTTACAGGCCAAACAACGAATAAATAAACTAAAAACATAATTGTCATTTTAGTTGAAAATGAAAATAATGGTTGTTGGCAGCCCTAATTTTCAATATCACTTAATCTGCAGTTTATTTTGGTTTTGTCTATAAACTGCCAGAAAATTGTGAAAAGTATAATTTTCCAGAGCCCAAGGTGATGTCTTTATATGTCCGACCAACAGTCCGACACTCAAAGATGTTGAATTTACAATGACACAGAAAATCCTCACATTGGAAAAGCTAGAACGAGACGTTTGGCAATTTTTGCAGATTCATTTTCCGTTGATCAATGAATCGACTAATTATTTCCGCTCGAGTTTATCAAGATGAATAGCAAGAAAATATGTTAGATATTATATAATATACAGATTTATCTGCAGTGGAAGCACTTGATGCCCGTACTGTTAGAAAACTCACCTTGGGTGTGATTTGCTTGAATAGTGTCGGAGGAGAACTTAAATCCACCCCTCAAACCGGTCATCAGCACACATTGCTTCTATTTCCAACTGCTACTTGCACTGCTAAATGTTTCATGTGAGAATATTAAATAATTTGCAACTGTGTGAACGTCAGAGGTAAACTTGGCTGGTGAAATGCCTCGACCCAGCTCCCGCAAGAATACTACACTAGCCAATTCTCATTCAGCACACAGCAGATCACATCTGGGTGCTCTTAATGTGCACTAAAGGGGCCTGCATCCCCCTTAATCAGTTCACTTAAGTGACGAGAACACACTGCATAGAACGCTTTATTGGCTGTTAGCTTGGTGTGTAGTTTGGAGATGCTTCTGTTATGCAACTTATCTCCTTTAAGTTTTTTTTTTTTTTTTTACTAAACAAAGAAATGTATAATCCACTTGTACTTTTTTTGGTGTGTCTTTTATTTTCCGTTTTCTCTTTTTTAATGGAGGTGTCTAGTCACATACAGGTCATAGCAAGAAAGAAAGTTCGAGAAATCCAAGCTGCCATTAAGGTACGTCTAGCTTTGCCCAGTTGCAGGGGGCTTTTCATTGCCATGGTTACAGGCTCTTCCTTTGTTTTCCTCCCTTCCCCTACCCCGCAGGTGTCTAGTCACATTCAGGTTCTTGCCAGAAGGAAATCTCGTGAGTTTCATTCCAAGCTAAAGGTATGCGCTTTTCTGCTTTTGGGCTTGTTGGTTGCTGTGCATCTTAACTTCCTGTTTCCCGTGGTGACAGAGTGAATGCCTGGTGCTCTGATTCCCCCTAACCCAAATCCTCTGCTGACTGTAGTCTACTCAGATTTTCTAACCCACCCCCCCTCTCAGTCCATCTCTCACCCCCGTACTCTCCCATGCTGTCACTTGGTTTCATCTACACTTATTCACTTTTCATTACGGGCTTTTGCTTTGAGAGCAGCTGGTTATCATGTACATGACTTACTATAACAAGAGTGAAGACATTTATTTTATTTCCATTAATAAAAAATAATGTATTAATATCAAGCATGCCAAGACAAATGGTTCTTGTAGTTTATAGGTTTGTTTTTTAATTATCCAAGACCTTGACCAATACTGGATTTTGATACCGATACTGAGAGATAAAAATTCTGATATTCATATTTTATTATTATAATAATAAATTTATACATTGGCCAATAACTCATAACATTGGGGGGAAAAAAAGTTGGTAACCATCCCTTAATTACAGTATGTACTGAGCGAGACATTTTATAGATAAACGATGCTAACATGCTTGCAGTATAAATGCTAACATGCTCATGTTTAGCTAGCACATTTTATCATGTTTACCATCTTAGTTTAGCTTGTTAGCATGCTGAAGTTTAGCCAATAAGCTCTAAACACAAAGTGCAGCTGACGTTAGTGGGAATGTCGTTATTTTTGCAGGTATTTCGTTGAAAAGTACGGATAAATAAAATGTTTTACCTGATTATGGCACTAAATGAAAGGTCAGGGGATCAACAAAGCAACTACAAGTCATCCTTAGGGGGGGACATTAAGGTGTCTGACCCAAATTTCATAACAATGTATCCAACAGCTGTTGAGACTTTTCACTCAAAATCACAAATGGCGAACCTCGTGGTGGCGCTAGAGTCAGACGATCGCCATTGTATGGTTCATCCTCTGTTTTGTTTTTTTTTTGGGGGGGGGGTTCTTGCATTTCTGCACTGCAATATCTTGCTCCTTACTGGCAGATGTATACACCAATACCGGTCATAATGAACTAACACCAGCCCATATATTGCCCCGGATTATTTACTGGGCAGGCTCTGATTTTTACTCTATGTATATAATTGTAATAACTTAGTAAAACCAAAATCAAAGTGGGCAAATGTCAGGAAGCATGCTAGCATTGGCTGTTGGTGAGCGGCTGAGATCTGAAGGTTCGAGGAAATCGGCCTGATGGCGGCTGGCTGTTTCTGAAATGTACTCTCTGCTTTCTTGTTCTCCCTTCAGTCTGTTGATAAGTCCAGCTCTCACAATGCCATGGCTGTCTGTCGCTTTCCTTCCGACCCAGTTCAGATGTCGTCATTTCAAAGCGTTCTTGTCAGTTATTTCAGCAATAGTGAAATCTGTTAAAATCGCTGAAGAAACCTTTTCAGAATGGCACATTAAAATGGGAGAACAGCATTGTGAAAGAAGTAATCTTGAATAATATTGACCTGTAATTTAAGGTATTTTATGAAGTAATGCTTGTATATCAAAGGACACTCCACCCATGTGCCATTTTCTTCTTTTCTTAGGGAGCCGATTATACGTTTTGACTTTCACACTTTGCTCCACTCCCAGTATTCAGCACGAATTAATGACCCCTCATTAATCTGTGTATGTGTGTGTGTTGAGAAACAGTCAGACAGGCAGCTAGCCACATGAATGCCTGGTCTTTCAAGGGCATTGGTGGCTGTCTGAAGAAAAACAGACAGCTTTTGTATGAATCCATGTCTTTTCTCATTTAAAGCAAATTAGACTTCAGGGGTAAATAGAAATACAAGTGTGCCCTTAATTTTAGGCATCAATGAAAACCTGCTGTTTCTGGTCCCGTCTATGGCATTTCTGTGAAATTATAGTCATTACGTTACTGTTCTGTTGTTTTGTCTCAAGTGATGACTTACTGATCAGATTGTGAAAATTATACAGAGCAAGATACCCCCCCCCCCCACCACCAGAAACCAAGGATAATTTGTAAATACACATTTCATAATCTTTTTCATTCTGTGTTGTACTGTGTGAAGAAGGCTGGACATTCTCAAAGCAGAATAACTGACTTTCTTTAACACTATGATAATGTTGAATAATTCACAATAAACGGAATCACAAATTTACAATAAAAACCCTGTTTGTCATTTAGGTTACAAGTATGGTAAGTATTTATTTTCTGGTTGCGATGCCGTTTCTGCTTTTGATTAGGGGCTGCCTCGTCCTTCAGCTGCTAGTTTTGCATTTGTGCTCCTGCCATAGTGACAATAGCTGCTGCCCAATGTTTCCCCAGTTTATTGATGTCTTTGTGTCATCATACTGTAGCTTGACTGTTCTCAGTCTGTTGCCAGCATGCTTACCTTTAGCTTCTGCCACCAGTGAGTCTGCATGGGCGTGCTAGTGTGCACTCCGCTACAGTATTTACACTGAATGGTTCGGTGTGACTTTAAATAACTGTTAATGCACATTAACAAATGACTAGCTCCAAAACATACAATGTGTAGTGCACTTCTGTAGACTTTGGTGGTTCTCTATGAACTGCGATTCTCTTAATTAAAGCTAGGGTTGGAAATGTTAGAGAGACTAGCAAGAGACTGCTAGAAGTATCCAACTGTAAAAAACGATTGGCCGTGCTCATTACATTCCTGAGACTGCCAAAGTAACCGGATTTCTTTCGGGATGTAAAGAGAATTTCATCAACTTATTTAAAAAAATTCTGAAATAAATTGCCTACCTTAGTTTTTAGCATAGCCATTTAAAATTAATGTAGCTATATCCTGATATTTAAAAACCTATTGTCCAAAGATGAAAGTAAAGAAACAAACTGGAGCTGCGAAAGACTTTTCACAATACGAGATTGGCGTCCTTCAGTTTTACTTGAGACATTCTTTCCTACGTTTAGATGTGTTTTGACATGCAGACAAAAGCAGCCTTGATAGAAGTGCTGCTGAATGTGTTTTTAAAAAAAATGTTTTAGTGGTAGATTAGTCAACAAGCAAACTTTGGTGTACGTGCATACCACTGCTAACCATTGTATATTGGAATTTAGTTGTTGTTTGGCGCATTCCTTTAACAAAAAAAAAGCCTACACTTAAAGAGCAACATAGATGCATCTTCTTTTAACCTGCTTGCTGTTTACTGTTGTGAGGGGTCAGTGGTGCTTTCAGTGTGTTGTTTGGAGTCTCGTTGTTGCTACCTCTGCAGCACTCCCTCTCCCTTCTGTGTGAGTGCTAAGTCTTTTGTGACTGCTGTTAAAAGGACCAAGCCGTGAAGGACAAAGCCCTCCAGAGCATGGCCTCCATGTCCTCGGCTCAGATCGTCTCTGCCACGGCTATTCACAACAAGCTCGGCCTGCCAGGCATCCCGCGCCCAGCCTTCCCTGGAGCAGGGGTAAGACCCTTGTCGGCACCACACTATTGATCCATCCTGTCCAGCTTCACCCAGGGCGGACGTGGGGCCAACAACGCCGACACCGGCGCCAAATCACATTACACACCACAGCTTTGCACAAATGCCCCTATCAGATAAGCACACGATCAAACGGAGTGGTAGTCAAGATAACCACATCCACTGAACATGGAGCTAAGAGCTATTTTGATGTTGTTGCTAACAGCTGCTCACAATTTGATCTTCTTTGTTGTCTAATTCTCTAGTTATGGCAGGGTATGATATCGGCTGGTCAGCCAGGATCCTCACAAGAGTAAGTATTTTACTTTTGTGTTAGAAAAAAAGAACTCTTTAAGCAATAAATTCAATTTATTGTTCTATAGAAGTTTTTTAATGAGTCTGCCTTACTCTGTTCCAGTATTAAGCCTTTCACCCAGCAAGCCTATCCCATCCAGCCAACAGTCACAGCCATTTCAAGTAAGAATTTCCATGATTCAAAAACCTTCAAGGACAAATGACCCAAAATGTTCATCACACTTTCTACATTTTTTGCTCAATCTGAAAAAAACTGAAATTCGCCTTGTTTCTCACATCTCCAACATAATAAAATGTGCCACCTGTTTACTGTGTTTATTCACTCCATGTCCACATGTGCATTTCAAAACCTCCTTAATCTGTTCCTTTAATCTTACTGTGAGAATTGGCAGATTGTCTCGCTGTAAAACAAATGCTGATAGAGGTCTAAAATGCTTGGGAGATGGCAACAACAATATTTAAATTAATTGAATTAAATACATTTCAGCAACTCCTGTTTTTATCTGTTAAGTTTTTTTTTTTTTTTTTTTTGAAAATGTAAAAATTCTTAGTGGAAAAATTGTTAATATTGGTTGAATATTATCAATCAGAATGTAGCAATCAATGAAGCTGCAGAAACTCCTGTAAGGCAACATATTTAGCCTCATCCAGGAATGAGTTTTTTTTTTTCCCGTCTCTCTTGAAACACACTCATAAAAGTTAGATGAAATAAATAAGACAAACCAACATTGGGAAATGCGCAGACCACTGATTTATGTGTGTGTGAAATAAATCCAAAGGCTTTTTTTTTTTTGTTTCTACACTAGAACATAAATGTAACTGGATTTATGAGAATTGATCTTGGTTTCAAGTTGCAGTTGTTTATTGCCTAAAACTTGCGGACATTATTTATACAATAGTATTTCTGCACATTGTATTGAGTTCTGACTAGTTTTATATTTTATTTTTACTTACAAATATTATGGAAAAAAGAAAATAAATCCCATAAATGAACAACAGGCAAATCTGTGCACACTAATTTTTTCTGGATGACTGCTATAATTTGCACATGGGGTTTTATTTATTATAGTGTCTTAAAACTACCCACAGAAGGATTTATTATTGTGGTGTTACTGCAGGTTACGAGCCCACAGCACCTTCGGCTCCCACGGCACCAGCGTGGCAGGGCCGCTCTATCGGTACATCTAAACTCCGACTGGTGGAGTTCTCCGCCTTCCTAGAGCAACAGAGAGACCCAGATTCAGTGAGTAGAGCATTATTGTATAAAACACACCACTATCTCATGGTGTTCATTCCCACCTCTTATCACCCGGTCCTTTCCTCTATGAATACACTGGGACATTTTCCCAGGCAGACAGTCAGCTGAGGGGAGGCCAAAACAAGCTGAGAGGAGAAGCCCTGCATGTAGGGACACACAGCATGAAAACCTGCAGAAATAATGAAGGACTGTATATTAATCAGTTCCTTAAACGGTGTGCCAAAACTATATTTACGCTGCAGACTTCAGCTCAGCGAGACGATCCACAGACTCACGGAGTGTGAGTTGACAAATCAGCAAACAAAGTCTGTGTCTCACATTTCTTGTTTGCTTTAGACATTTTTAAATGTTTGTCCACATTTTCCTGTGCGCTTTCTTTTGGTATTAATACTGCATGACAACAGCCATTAATCTTACATTCAGCTTAATGCTTGAAATTGTTGCATTTGCCCTAAAGGCTACACGCTGGAGAGGCTGCTCTGTGAGCTTTTAAAGTGAAGTGCAGCACCACATGACAGGGCTTCGTTCAGTCACGACGAGGGCAACCGACCTCTGAAAATCAAATGTTATTCTCTGATTGCCCTGCTTCTCTTTGTGCTTTTTGCTATGCATCATGAGTCTGAGGTTTAACAGAGCACAATTTTTTTTTATCCAAAACCAAATTCAAATATTCTTAGTTGAAAAGGAATAGAGCAAACCTGAATGTAATTTTTTTTATAAAAGCTCTCACCTTTCATTCCAAATTTTTTCAATTTCAGCTGAATGTAGTTGCTTTCCTACATTTGCCTATAATAAAGTCACAACTTGAGCTTATATAATTTGGGTGAAGCAGTCTGGCATTCCTGGCTTGGTTTAATACAAATGAGGAGATGAGCTTCTTTTTGGATGTGGTGTACCTAATTTGTAGATCATAATAAAAAAGAGGCTTAAAATCATGCAGATCGCCAAATAAAAAGCAATGTTGCATAGGGTTATTTCTCATTATCAGAGTGTATTTGTTACCAATCTAATTCTAGCTATTTCTTTCTTATAATGTTGATTACTTCAGTAACCACCATTATAAGACTTCAGTAAGTTGTTCTGTGTTGTTGACTTTCAGGATATTGATGTAATATTGTTATAGATTATTTTTTATGCCATGTCAGATTTTAATGTCAAAATTCAGACTGAATAGATTTGTTTAAACGATTCAACCTGAACACCATATTTAAAGTATGTTTCTAATACTTTGTTTATTTACTCTTTCAGTACAACAAGCACCTATTTGTACATATCGGACAGACAAATTATTCCTACAGTGACGCCCTGCTGGAGTCGGTGGACATTCGCCAGATTTATGACAAATTCCCAGAAAAGAAAGGAGGCCTGAAGGAGCTGTATGGAAAAGGTCCCCAGAATTCCTTCTTCCTTATAAAATTCTGGGTGAGTGTAATTTGTCAGCCACATTGTTAAGATTGCGAAGTGTTATAAAATGGCAGCGTTACAGCTTGATTGTGTTTTACTCACATCAGTCTCAATATCACTGTAACCTCTTGCACATTGTGAAAGGCTGGATGGCAGATCCTGTTCAGTTACAGTCTGTTCAGATTCTTCTTTAGTTATTGGGTGTAATCAGTCTACACAGAGAAGATTGCGCTCTTAATGTTTGCAGAATGCACTGTGCTATATTTGGACTTGCATAGCAGGAGAGCTTTTGATCAAAGCACTCACTAATTCAATGTAATATCTCCAAACAATGGTGTGACCTGGTTGCACTCCTAATGGCTGTTGAAACATTGCATGTATTTCCTCCCTGATGCAAAATGCTAACTAGCGGCAGCCAACAAAGTAGGGCCGTATGCACTTGGACCAAGTCCCCTCAAATTCCTTTTGAAGTGACCGACCAATCTAAATTTCAAATGAAAGACAGAATCTGCACAATAATGAATGTATAACTGCTTTGCTTAATGAAGGAGGAGAATGTTGTAGGAGGATGTCTCCTCTTTTTGTATCCATAATGAACAGGATGTCGAGGGCATAGAAAGGCTGCCCTCCGGGAGCAGACCCCGCTCGACCTTGTAAATCAGTAACTTAATTGAATCCTCTTTAGAATCTTCTTTCTAATATGGACACAGTAACGTGTTTAGTCAGATGTGGCCGAGATCTTCTAATATGATGTGCAATGTACATGTTTAATCTCAACAGCTCTTGATCAGACTGACAAATACTTGATGCAGAGTTAATTTAACATTTTTAGAAACCAGATTCAGACATTATTTAAAAAAGGCTCAATTCCATACTAATCTCTGCAGTGTGTTTTTCCATCAACGTACTAGGTACATACTATTCCTAGAATTGGTTTTTACCCTTTGAAAGAACCTGACAAAGGTTGCTGCACCAAAATATAATTATTCAATTGGTTTAGTTCAAGTGTGGCCACATCACATCACTTACTCTCCTCTACACCTGTTGGTAAACATGAATTGCCATTTCATACAAGAAAAGTAATCTTGTATGAAATGGCAATAATCTTTGGCACTTGCAATCAGGGCACAAAATTAGTACCAGCCAAATGCTGGTAAAATATGCAAGTGGCTGGTAGATTTGCTTCAATCACCAAAAAAAAAAACCCCAATTGTAATCTTTTGAGTGGTTGGTAAAATTTTAACATTCACTGGCCATTTGGTGCTGGTGGACACCCTGCTTGTATTATAATACACTGTATTACTATGGTTGGATTTATTGTTTATTCCTTTAAATCTAAGCCTAAATACAAATGTAAATTGCCGCTGCAACGTTTATTTTTTTTTCCCCCTCTGGCTCGCAGGCTGACTTGAACTGTAACATTCAAGATGATACTGGGTCTTTCTACGGAGTCACTAGTCAGTACGAGAGCTCGGAGAACATGACCATCACGTGTTCAACAAAGGTCTGCTCCTTTGGCAAGCAGGTGGTCGAGAAAGTTGAGGTATGAACTCAGGTCTTAACATCCTGTGCATCACAACGAGGGCTAAAAGCTGTGAATTCTCCAATATAACCATGTTCCTTAAAGTTACTGTGTCATTCTTCTGTTCTCTTCAGACTGAATATGCACGGTTTGAGAATGGGCGCTTCGTCTATCGGATAAGCCGGTCTCCCATGTGTGAATACATGATCAACTTCATCCATAAACTAAAACATCTGCCAGAGAAATATATGATGAACAGCGTGCTGGAGAACTTCACTATCTTATTGGTAATCACCTCGCTGACCTGAGTGGGCAAGCTCTCTCTCCGGGACTCTCATTCTTCTTCTCCTCTTTGCTGTCAGGGTGTGTTGGTTGGCTCCAGCTGGGAGGGGCGGCGGTTGACTGGGCCGAGGGATGAGTTCCTCTTGCTGGTCTTACATTGCTCTCATTCCACAGGGGATGAAACGCAGTGTGCGGAGCCTCATTATCTGCAGGGCAAAAGGGGAGGATGAGAGGGGGCAGGAACCCCCGTTATTAGCCATCACATGGGTTCTTAAAGTGTCATTGACATCTACTGAGAAATCAAAAAAATAAATAAAAAGACTCATGGACCTGTACATGGGGGTTTGGATCCAAAATAGGAAGCGGAGCCCAAAAGCCATCTTAAGGCTAATGATTACAACCTAAAGAAGCTTAAAAACATTGTGATTAAGATGCTTTTAGAAATGGTCGTAGATCAATGAGTACTTTGTTCCTGTTCACAGAAGGCTAAATGTGTCTTAAAAAGCTCTGAAATCTGCAGGAGGAACTAAAAACGATGTATTGTAATACTGTATAAGTTTTGGGGGGTAAAAAACAATATAATTAATTGCACAATTATTGACTGATGATTTTGAGGGCTGCCTTCCACGGTGGCCCGTAGGTCTCAGGCAATACAAATACAAATCCCACAACACAAATACAAAAGCCACAACACGATTATAAAAGGGAACCACAACGGAAGTTGACAACGAAAGAGACGCTTACTAAGCGTCTCTTTCGTGTTGTGGTTCCCTTCCGTTGTGGCCTTTTGTAATTGTGTTGTGGCGTTTGTATTTCCGTTGTGGTTTTTGAATTTGTTTTGTGGCTTTTTTTGTTCGTGTTGTGGCTTCTGTATTAGGCCTGAAACCTACGGCCCACCATAGCCTTCACCCAGAAAGCAATACTCGGGATGATCACAGAATCTCCTGTGGCTGAAATGTTTCCTGATGTTGTATTTTCAGTTTCCATATCTTTTATCGTAGGGGTGGGTATGCCATTTACCTTTTGCTCATAAAGCTCTAATACACAAAGGATGACAAGCATATTCATGAATTTTATACAATGACTGGCTTGATTGTAGGTTCAATATGTGCTCAAGACTTATGGCCTGAGCAACAGCTAAATCAATCAGTTTAGTTTCGAAAACCTAATTTCCACCCACTGAGATATACATAAACACATACACACGTATAAAGGAACTCCTATTTAATCATTATTCAAGTGTAATACTTCTTTTAGAAAGTGACCCTCTCTTCTGTTGCAGGTGGTGACAAATAGAGACACCCAGGAGACGCTGCTATGTATGGCGTGTGTGTTTGAAGTTTCAAACAGTGAGCACGGCGCCCAGCATCATATCTACAGACTGGTAAAGGAATGAAAGGCTCCGAGCGCCCCCCACCACCCCATCTCCCTCTTTTCATAGACTTACCAACCTCAAAAACAAGTGGCAGTGCCTCTACCTTAAAGTCACACCTACAATGCTTTTTGGTCATGGTATCGGGTGAAGTCAGTCGTTATAAATTTGTTTTAATATAAAGTGTTAGTTATTTGACTGCAGTTGTGAATTGCGGTACAGTTTTATGTTTTAAATATGGGAATTCTCGTTTAAAATATGTTGAGTTGGTCTCCGTTGGGTATAAATGTGGCCGTTCTTAAAGAATTTACTAGATTAATTTGGTAAATGGAAATGTGTGTGTTGTCTTCTTCTGCTTTGTTATGTAGAGAAAAAAAAAAAGGATGCTGGCCTTTTCAATCAGCGGCCTGATGTGGTCTGTGTAATATGTTGAGTGTGTTTTTTTTTGTATGTCTGTAGTTCATAATTTGTGAGCATACATAGTCGATAAACAGACGTGCACACTCAGCCAATAGATTTTCCAAAGAAACAAAACTTACGCAACACTACATAGACAGTTGATGGAAACCAGTGGTCGTGAATATTGCAAAATTACTGCTTTTTCTTTTTAAAAACAACTCTGCTTTCGGAAGTATATTTATCTCTGTTGAAGCACTCCGAGTCTTAGACACTAACCGAATGAATGCACTGTGGAAATACTACAAACATTTTGCCTGCATCTGCTCCATTAATGTAGGAAGTCTTACCACCTGCTAAGCATTTCTGTGCTGCAAACGAGTCTATTTTCTGCGACAGCCAATAAGAGAATTTCTGGATTTTAGACGGGTGAAAGTAAAATTACTGATCTTGTCGAAAAGCACTTTGCTCCCCTTCTTGGGCTTGCCTTAGTGATGCTTCCTTTTCTTTGTGTTAGATCTGTGGTTATAGAACAGCAGTTTAAATAAACCTAACACCATACAGTAAATCACTCGTAGACAGCAGGCCTTGTTCAGTATGCTGTTCCCCCCCATTCCCGACTCTCAGAATATGGTTCCCCCTCTGGGATTGTGGTGTAATAACTCCAAGCCAAGAGTGTTGCTGCCTTCATGTTCACGTGTTTCTGTGGCCTACACCGATCCCCAGCCTTAAACAGGTTATAGCTGTGTGAACTCCAAAAGATGCCACTAAAACTGTGATCTCTAAGCGTGAAGACTCTTTCCATGTTTGCATTGTGTAAGAAATTCACAATACTATCTGCCAAAGTGTAGATATACAGTGCCTTAGAATATACTCTAACATTACCCTTTGCTACGTTTTAAGTCTAAAATCAGTTTTGTGGATGAAACAGGCAAAAAGAACTCACCTGTATATTACTTGGTACATTCTCACGTCCGCAAAATTATGTTTCTTATAATTGGTACACTCCTATAAAAACAGTTTTTGCTGTTAAGTGGCAGTACACTTATGTTAAATTAAGTTATAATAACAGTAACCGTTATAATGCAGGTTATATTTTTCTCTAACGCTGTAAAACATCTGCCTTTTGTGTAATATAAACACAGACTGACTGCCTTTCCTGTTGTAAAAGACCAAAAATACAGAGATACAGTCAATCTTTTGTCATGTCCTGCATGGTAGCAAGGAAGTGCCTTTGGTTTAAAATATCCAGCTTCAAAAAGATAAAACAAATTTAAAATCAAATGTTGCTAGACCAAAAATGAGACGTAAGTGAAACCAATCACCACATTGCCTTTTTTAAAGGGATTGTAATGAAAGCAGGGGAAAGCTGGTTACTGGTAAAAATAAATAAATGATATATTCATTTTTATTACATTGTAAATTGATGATTTCACAAATGTATTTGAAGAAAAGCTATTTCTTTGCTTGAGGTCGAAGACAGAAAGACCTGCTGATAACGCACGGCCGCAGACTGCACGCAGGATGTCCATTTACAGAAACACTGCAGCTGTCTGCTTCGTGCACACTTGCAGGTTCAAGTGTTTTTAAAAAAGGTTTCTTGGAAACACTGGTTTCCCCTTTCCCACGACCACGCGCTCTCACGATGTGAAAACCACATTACACTTTAACAATGTTACTTTTGATGATGCAGACACACACAGCTGTGATGTTGACAAGGCAGGGACCGACAAGCTTTTATCATTTATTATCTTTCAGAACAAAATCTGAACGTTTATTTAACTGTACAAATACTCACATTTCATTTGGAACTGTTTTAATGTGGTTAAATCTGAAATTGTTCCAAAACCTGTTCGAGATGCCGTTTCAAAAAACTAAAACTAATTTTTCACAAACTGCTAGTGTGGACGAGGCCGTCAAGGTTAATACTTTTAAAGGACCATAGCTACTTTACATTTATTGTTTCTTACAAAGAATTATAATCATCTAAAGTATTTTAACCGAAGAAGCTCTAAATAATTGCAGACAATGTCTCTGGTGGATGCAGATAAAGTTCAATCAATCAGTATTTTTGCCACAGTCCTGTGGACACTGTGGAGTTTTAATAGGCTTTTTTCTTACGTTTACCCTGTGTATCGGTTCACATTTATTGATTATTTAGTGAGATGTTCCTGTTTTCTTATTGTACTTGTATACAGCTGTTCTTGGTTTGTGATGACATTGTCTGTATATTGTAAGCCCAATAACATGGTAATGATGTTTGCTGCTGCACTGCTGGTACATTTTGACATGTCGTTTCAACACTGAAACAGCAGGACTTGATGCCTTCGATGGCACGAATGTCTGGTGGACCATTAGAAGAGAAAATGGGCACGTACAAAAACAAAAATCAGCTAAGTTGATGAATCATGCTACAAACATATCAGCAGTTTAGCTCGTTATTTGTAATTCTGTTGAAGAGTAGGTACTGGTACCTTTATTGTTTTATGACCATTATCAGATGGTGGCTTTAAAGTGATTTTTCACTCAGCTCACATAGTTATCACGCACACACACACACACACTTGGGTTTTTGTGTGCAGACTTGTTTTTTTGTAAAAAGGTGCTTTGTACAAAATTATATATCTTAGCTTTTCTTGGTACAGATTGTGTGATATCTTTTTGTATCCATGACAGTAAAGTGTTGGAGCAAAGGAGAGAAAAGAAGCTCTGCGATGTTTCTGTGTTCTGCATATGGTCTTGTCTTTGCTCCGTAACATTATGATGCCTTCTTGATAATAGTAGACATTTTGTAGCTTTCTAGATACTTTGTATGTATGCAATATTAAAGTTAAATAAATCTGAAAAATATTGCCTCCTGTGGTTGTCAATTAAACATTTAACATAATTGATGTTTGAGTTTTCACTCTGGTGTTACAGGGGTGTGTGCGTGCGTGTGTGTGTGTGTACGACGTCATGAGGCACCATCCATTTGAGTCTTTGACTGCAAAAACCTCTGGTCAACAGTAGATGGAGCACCTTCTTCTGTCACCTTAATACAGTATTTAACTGCTGGTGCCACTGTTTCACATGCAAGGCAGCAAATTTCAATACATACCACTGTAATAATAGAAATCATCACCAGAGGGAGACATTGTGTAATTAAAAGCAACTGTATTATTCCTTTTGAGTAAAAGCCATAAGTTAAGGCGCTGGTAAATCTACTGTGTGATATAACATTTAATAGCAAATTTGTCATAGAAATCAAAATATTTTACTGAAAGATCAACTACTAAGAAGGCCCAACGATAAGTATTCTGACCATTTGAACTACAGTATCAAGATCTTGAGTTTATCCACTAAAATACAGAAAATTATAGAATGAGCTTGCTTTCCTGCTGTGCTTACAAACATGGATAAAAACAAACCAACAACATTTGTAACTCAGATTTGGTTGTTGCCAATGTATAGCTCCCATTTAATTTTGGAATTCTATCAGCTGATTCCTGCGGCTATGAAGTAACCTAGTAAAGGCTTTTCGCTTTCCAAATGAGAGTTCACACGGGCACCTTTTAGACTGAATACAGTGATTGTTGATGTGAACATTATGTTTGGCCCAGAGGGGTTCTCAAACCATACTGCCGCTCCAAATGAAGCTTGTGGAAGGGCTCAAAACTGAGTCTTTCTGCAGGAATTCAATAAAAAGTGATTCCTAAACTCAATGGTTTTTGGAGTGCATGACACCACCATGTGGTCACTTATAAAGCACTTTGCACTTTCAATAGTAACTCCTGAACTGTGGGGGTACAAGCAAAGATTATTGATCCTGGTAGTGATGGGAAATCTTAAGGCTCTGTTCTTTTTTCCTCTCTTTCTAGGGGGCAGAGATTACTAGGTTTATTTGTAAAATAATCACTAGGATAATACTGAAAAGATTTCAATCAGATTCTTACTTAGCCTACCAATATAATTTACTTTTGCACATGTGGACTATGTTTAGGAGCACTAAATGACTGGTATTGCCAGACCCATGTCAGTGATCTGCACAGCAAACATTACACAAGATGACATATCCGTCTGCTTTGTTAGTGAATTTACTACTTTGAATTTACCCTCAATATGAAATGTGTTATGTAAATAAGGTTGGCCTGCTGCCTTGAATGCAATTCAATTCTGTCCTGTTCTTTATGCTGTTGTGATTTCAACTTTTAAGATCTAGTTGTTATTTTGGTTTTTATGCTGATCTTGTTTTGTCTTTTTGACCATGTTAAGTGTCTTATAAAGCACCACATATAATGTATATTATTATTAATACTTAATATTAGAAAACATTTGAACTCAGCCCAGCTGATGTGACACCAGTATAAGCTGGGATAGCAATCAAGTGGACCCACTAGACAGTTTGTGACTAGAGTGGTAGCATTACTATTCATGTAAAGGGGAGTGGATCTAGGGCAGGCAGTGAAATTTGGGCACAACGTTAAAAAGATTGATTCTCACCAAGTACGACCTGGTTCCCATTGTTTGTACCAAAGAGCCGTTGAAAAGAATCAGATAGTCTGCGAACGTAACATCACTAGATCCTGGGTTCTGTAGTTGAAGGCTGTCTTTCATTTACTCACAACTCTGACTGATCCTACACATTGGTGTGGTATTTTAACGTTATGTGCCACTACACTAGCATGATACATTTAATTGGCCATAACTCAATTGTCACGAGATTTAAATGTTGTAATTTATCCTTGTATGGAGCCAGAATAGACACAGGATATAAGTAGGCATCAGAAGGATTGTCTTTGTTCACCAGGCTCTGTCAGGTATTGTGGTTAAAGCAAAGACACTTTAAGAACAATAATATTTTGTAACGCCACAAGATGTGTGTACAAAAACTGGCCCACCTCATATACCACACATGTTGATAAAAGTAACAGGTGTTCATTATAAAGTCTGCCTTTATTTGCTTGAGAGCAACAAGCCTCCTGTGAGAACACAACAGCAGCGATAACCCAACAAAACTCCAGGTAAAGTATGGCAGCTGTTTACTCTCTTATTTTGCAATCAAAGCTTGTGAGTTCAAGACTCGCCAAGGCAAAAATCTGAAAGCAGTCGAAGAGAAAGGAAAACAATAGTGAACTAAAAGCTAGCAGGGTCAAATTGATGAATAACAGCAGAGTCTTCTACAGGGACTTAAAAAAAAAAAGAACATCACCTGCCTTTAAGTATCAAGGACAGACCAATCAAAGCAGCGCAGACTTCAACATTCAATTGATATGCAGCCATTCTCCTTTTGTAAACGTTTCTAAATGACCACTTGTGCATCATAAGTTGTCATTTACATGATCCAATGTTTGTGCCCACTCACTCAACAAAAGAAACTGACCCTGAATATTTACATCACTGAACATAGAAATGTAATCCAACAGAAGGAGGTCACTGCTCTGCTCGGGTGTGCTGGACTGGAAGTATCTTTGTGTTTCTGCCCCACAGTTTTGATGAATGTAGGAAGTGTCTGAATTTCTATAATGGTTATTATTTCAAAGTGTTTCACAGCCGATATTGTAAAAAACACAAGGTAAGAAGTTTGAGTATTTTCAGGGGTTGAGAACAGCCACCCAGGAAGTGGAAAAATCTAAATGTAAGGATCAAGTCTAATCCTGAAAATCAGAGAAAGCCGCATGGTGCGTCAATCATACTTCATGTCAGCCCCATTAAACAATATTTTTCATGTCAAGTCATATCCCTGTGGATTAACAGTCAGCTCTACAGCTTTCAGGTGACATGTCTGCATATTAAATCAATAGAAAAACAAGAGTGGACACACAGGGGCACAAATTTGTACTCTATAGGTGGCGTGATGAAAGTTGTGTCAGTTAAAAATGTTTTCATTTGAGCTTATTGTGAAGCTGCATGACTTCATTTCATGAACATACAGAGATGAGAAAAATGAAGGGGAGTTTGGGGGAAGATAACAGTAAGATCTGGAGTTACTTGTAAATTCTGATTAGTCTGAGTGCAGTAGCAGAAGAAGTATAAATACAATAATATTTTAGCAAAATATACTTTGCAAAATAAAATAAATTTGCATTTTGCAATTTTGATGTTAATCTGAAAAGTAACTGTCATAAGTGTAGTGTAAAACATAACATTTCCCTCCAAAATGTAGTGAAGTAAAAGTATCAAGTTGCATGAAACAGAATCTCTCAAAGTACAAATACCTCAAAATTGTAATTAAGTAGCCTGCAGTACTTGAGTAATACTTAGTTTCTACCACTGAGGTCACACACTGTCTTTTTTTAATGCCTTTTCTTAGTGTTAGGCAATCAGTTCAAATTTGCTTTGCTATTTTATTTATTATTTAGGGTAATTTTTCCATCTTATTCACTGCACAGTCGCCGTTTGTGGCAAATGAACACCAACTACACAAACAATATATATATCCGTCCATCCATCGTCAACCGCTTATCCTGCGTACAGGGTCGCGGGGGGGCTGGAGCCAATCCCAGCTGACAGCGTGCGCAAGGCAGGGTACACCCTGTACAGGTCGCCAGTCCATCGCAGACAATATATATTTTAATCTCAATTTGTTTTTGTGTTGTCGACTGTTAAATTTCAGTGAATAAGTCCCAATCATTTTCAATCATAAATTTCCATGATGTTTTAACACTAAAGTCAGGGTTTAAACCCTTTAACATTTCAGAGAGCAGTGGAGTCATAACACAAAACAGATATCAGCACCTGGTATCAGTGTGGGGACAAACGCGTTACAAAAGTAACGCAATTACAGTAATATACGCTATTGCTTTTTGCTGTAATGTAGTAGCCTAATATAACACATTGCAAAAATCGGTAGGCTAATATATCCGTTAGTAAGGCGCGATACAACGCATTTTAACCCGAAATTAGGAGGCATTTTGTTTTTTTTAATAATTCACCATAACCGTGAAACATTTCGGCAGCAGAAAAACAAATCCATGAGTAAGAGTAACGTTATTTCCTGTTGCGGGAATCCGATGGTCGACATTGATAGGCAAGATGGTAGCTCCTCTGATGGATCATGCTAAATACATTTCTAAAGGCTATGTGTTTGTGCTTTAACAAATTGCTTCCATGATTAGAGAGGCTGCTGTTCATCCTGCCCGATCTTGTCGGAGTGTCGGAAGATTCAAATAATCAATGACATATTCTGCTGTGCCTCGTGCGTAAATGCGCGCAGCGTCTTTCTTGGTGGGGAGACGATTCATCCTATTTCACCCCTCCCCCCACAATCCGCGGATATAACTCTGCACATCACTACAACCCACCTATGCAGGCACATCTTACTATCAGAATAATGCGCCCGTTAATTGGCAGCGAAACGAACTAAAAAATAACGCAAAAGGAGTGTAAAGCATTACAATTCAGAGACAGTAAAATTGTAATAACTATTTACTCTCAAATGACTGCAACTAGTAATCTATAATGTAGCCTATTACATTTTGGAAGTAACTTGCCCAACCCTACTGGTGATCAACACTGTCCTGAAATTATCATCCAGACAGTGTCTCTTCTCAACTAAAAGTCACATCACATTATCAAGTCATCTTTACTGACACTTGCTCTTGCAGTCATGTGATCACAGCAGAGGCAGTCTCGTGAGGGCGCACTATGAACTCATTAAGTGTTTCCTGGTCTCAGGAAAGTGCACAGAGGGACACATGGACCTCCAAACGTCCAGCCCCATCAGCAACTTCTCAGATGTGTCCGGGACGCAGCGCGCACCAACACAAAGGGAATGAGTATGGACACAACTGCGCTTTTCTCCAGACACGAGGATTTAAATCTCTTTTAAGACTTTTCCCTGTTTTATAAGAATCACCGTGTGTCAGATATTCGCG